CGTGAGGCTTGGACCGAGGGACCAGGAGGTCGGGTGACCAGCTGCGGTGGCTGACACTTGGGGACACCAACAAGTGCAAGTGTACATAGGAGTGACCGTGTTGACCGAGTCAAGACGACGGTCGAGCAAGTCGAGCGCAGGCTCTGGAAGACTTGGCGGCCGGGCGATCGAGGACGGCGGTAGCATGCTTCAAGTGGCGGGGGACGCGTATGGAGTACGCTACTCGTGAGCGATTTGGTGTGTTGAGCCTCAAAACCACTGGGTGGACGGTTTCGGATTTGGACCTCAAAATCCGGGTGCGGTTCTGGTGGGAATCGGATCCGGCGTGTGGTGGCATCGAGAGTTCGCGTCGAGGCGAAGTATCTCGTGAAGGACGCGTGGCCATCGAATGCTTCTATCTCGGGTTGGACCAAAACGCCCTCGGAGTCTAGTGGTTCGATTTAAAATATCTATGAGCATTTTTGAATTGTGTAATAGCCCTGATAAATAAGTGATGGCTGTCCCCAAATGAGCCTCACCTCGCCAGATTTTTATTTGTACATAACTCTCTAGATTGTGCTTTAGAGGTCCTCGGATGATTCATCTCGTGTTCATATAATCTGAGTCTAGGAACCTGTGATTTGTGTGGGAGGGAGGCTCGAATCATCCTTTTGTCCTCTGGAATTCATCACTTGGGTCTGTGAATTTTATTCCACTGTGTTAGCTACGATCTGAATTTCTTGGAGTTTAGGTAAATTTCAGGCAATGATTTCTTGGGGTTAGGTTCGTACCATGTTGAATTTCATCTCAGCAAAGTTTGGGTGCGAATCCTTTTGTTTTGAGTTGGATTTCGTCGGCTTTCTTGGCCGTCCCCTTTTCTGTTCTTGCGTTCGTGAGTCTCCTTTTCCTTCTTTGGCTGCGTGGAGGATCTAGCGCATTGGGCTAGTAGCGCCGTGCGCGCTCGCTTGAGCAGCACTCGCAGTTTGGCCCAGGTGGACGCGTGCCGTCCAGCGCTCTGCTCCAGGCGCTCTGCAGCGTGGCTGCTTGCCAAGGCCGACCGGTGTTTGCCGTGCGTTCGCCCAGCACCAGGCTCGTGCAGACCGGAGCCAGTCTCCTCTATTCCGTTCCTGTCTGCTGGTCTCCTTTTCCCTTCGTTCTGTGTCTGTGCAGCAACAAGCGTGTTCGGTCTTGACTCCTAGAGGATCTTGCGTTCGTTCTCACTTAGCAGGGCAGCAGCAGTGCTTGTGATATTTTTTTGCAGATTGACTGCGGCGGCAGTTCGTCTTCAGCGCCAAGTGCAAAGGTGAACGTGATTTGTTTTTCAAATCTTGAGCTGTCACTCTCAAGCTACAGGAGCCTAATTAATTGCTTGCTCTATTTTCTTGTTTCAATCTTGTACGAGTGATTTTTGGTGCTTCCTGTTTTGATCTCTCCCTGTCTTGTTCGGTTCAGTGCTGATTTCATTGGCTTGTCTCTTCCAGAATTTTCGGCCTAAGCCCCTGCAATTTCCGGTCTATCTTTTCCGAGCTCGCTATTTCATCCGCGGTTTATTTGTTTAAGCTCTGATTAGTGTTCCGTCTTTGGTGTTGGCTTTCTACCGTTCCAAGAAACCTATCTAGGTACTCTCACCAATTAGCTTGGATATTCTAGAATCTGGAACGTTTGTTGTGCCTTGTTTTTAGTGGTGAATTTAGGGACAACGGCCGAATATTTTGAAAGAAATTTAAGGCTCTCTTTCACCCCCTGTCTAATCGTTGTTTTCGGTCCTTCACTGAGCTCATGTCTGGACGGGTCGGCTACTATTTTCTAGTGTAAAAATAATTTAAATTTTTTGAGGGAAAAAATACAATGAAGCGGAACAAAGATTTTTTTTTCCATTTCCCTGTCCAAGCCCTATTCACTAGCTATCGTTGGTCAAGTTGAGCCCGTGCGGTCTCAGGCCAGACCAAAAATACTCATGTCTAGCCAGCCCTGTGTCCAAGCCCTATTTCACTAACACATGGAGAACACTTCTCGTAGGATCCATTTCTCTAGCATATTGCTCTCCCAGGAATTTGCTTTGGTTCTCCTACCTTCTTTGCTCCAATCTCCAGAAGTTCGTAACTCGTTTGGTCAACAAAATATGCGGCTAATTTCAGATTCCACGTACAGCAAATCCAGAGAGGATAACCTACTTCATTGCAGCATACTACAACAATTATGTTTGGACATGGCATGAATAATGGAGATAAGTCGTCTGTCGTCACTTACTCGTCGTTACTAAACAATTCAACATCCATGATTATAAAATTAGTAACCTCCAGTTTTATAATTTTGTTCTTTTGGACTGAGTTGAGATCAAACTTTTAAACTTTGATTATATAAAAATAAAAATACCAAGCTCGAATAGATACTAGGGTAATATATATAGATTGGTCTTCAAATGTATTGTAATAAAATTGATTGTATATTTGTTGATTTTATTTATATTTATAATACAAAATCATTGTAGAACTTATATTTTGTAAACCATGTTTATGCCTAAAATAAAAGAATTATAAAACTAAAGGGAGTAAACTAAGCATTGCACTATTGTTGGTGAAGGCACCGATGTCCAATCTTTAGTTTGCCTACGATGGATCAGGCCAAGGCTTCGTGCAAGACTTGTTAGTGTTCCTAGAGACTCTAGGACACATCTAGGAAGGTATATTGATATGTTTGTACATCAGTACATGTGTGAGGCTATCCGCCATCTATAACTCTAGGGGTTATAAGGTAAAAAATCTAGAATTCAGACCAAGAACTTACCAAGCTTGATCAAGATCTCGAGTTGGGGATCTAGGTTGTGTAGGTCTTGTTCTTACTTCTCACCTACTTCTTCCTTCTGCTTCCTATGTGAAAGGTCCTTGTTTGTTTTGGTAATTGAGTGATAACCTATGTGGACTAATTATGTTTAGTGTGAGATACATAGGTGATTAGTCAACATGTACACTTGTGTGAGCAACTCACGTCATAGAGGTGAAATAACTTGGATATGTTGCAAAGCTCACACATGTGATGAAGGAGCATTGCATATGAGACATGACATGGAGTCATGTGATCAAGGTGGAGAAGATCAAGACCAAGACTTGGCTCGACGGACCGGTTACCAGTGTGAAGGGTAAGTTGAGTGATGACCAACGGCTAGTTTTTAGCCGTTGGAATTCGACTGTTGGGAGGGGCACCGCCGTGTCCGATGCCCTCGCAGAAAACAGCAGCTTCGCTCCAACGGCTCTGTTTGGCTTGGGGGCTATAAATAGAGGTGGAGCTCGGGCTTGGGCTGGTTGCTGAGCACACTTAAGCCTTGGTGGCTTGTGTAGGTGTGCTTGGGAGCCCTTTAACTCACTTGTACTTGATAGTGATCATTCGATCGAGTGAGTGAGCGATTTTAGTGCGATTGCATCGTGAGGTTGCATGTAGTGGCACTAGGTGATCGTGTTGCAAGCCGGTGGTGTTTGTTACTCTTAAAGGTTGCCACCTCCTAGACGGCTTGGTGGCTTGTGACTCCGTTGAAGCACACGAAAAGATTGTGCAGTGCTCCGGAGGAGGATTTGTGAGGGGGATTGTGCTCACCCCGCGGGGATCGCGAAGAGCAACTCTAGTTGAGCGTGTCATTGAGCTACCCTCACTTGTGGGTAGGTTCTTGCGGTGCCCAACGTGCGGGCTTGGCGGGTGATGCTAATTAGCCACCGAACCACCAAGTGAACGGTCGACACAACGTGGACTAGCGTGTTGGCAAGCACGTGAACCTCGGGAGAAAAATCACCGTGTCATCATTGTCTTCCCGTTGGTTTGTAATCCCCTTATACAAGTTTGTAATTACTTTTATATACATTGTACTTGTGTAGTTGCTCTTATAATTAGTTAACTTGTGTAGCTTACTAGTTACCTTCTTACTTGTGTAGCATAGAAGTAGCTCTCTTGCGTGACTAATTTGGTTTGAGTAACCTTGTTAGTCATATTGCTTAGTTTGTGTAGTTAAATAATTTGCACTCTCTAATTTGGCTTGTGTAGCCTTGTTATTCAACATTGCTAGTGAGCTTAGGGGTTTTGTGCGTTTTGTATCACTAGTTGTGTAGGAGCTCTCCGGTTGCTTGAAGTACTAGTTGCATAGGTTTATGTGACCTTGCAAGGTAGAATTGTTAGGTGAGCTCTAGCTAGCCCGGCACCTTTGTTGTCTAATTAGGATCTTTATAAGGTGCTTGTGAACTTAGATAGAGGGGTGCAGTTTTGGCTAGACCGATAGTTTTAATTCCACATTTGTTTCGATTAGCCGACGCGTTTAATTTTTTTAGAAAGAATTATTCACCTCCTCTAATCCGCTATCTCGACCCTACACCTATGGCAAGAGAGGGAAGCACTCCTTGCTTCTCTTTAGCAAGGGGGATCAACTTGCATCGGGGATGGTGCTGCAGTTCATTCGCCTGCTCCTTGGCCTTTTACTCTATCTCCCTTCTTGCTTCTTGGGAAGTGAGGGAGAGAGCTTAAGGGAGTGCTCAGCTGTGCTATTCACAGCCACTGCAGCGCTGCAGCTGCTACTTTTCTTCTTGGATGAACAGTACGCGTAGGGGTTGTTGCTGCAGTAGCAGCCGCAGCGCTGCTGCAGCAATCACAGCCATAGAGAACGTATGATTGTCTTGGCACAACTGACCAACAGGCCATTGTATATAAAGCACAAAAGTTTTAGTTTCAGTCGTACTTAACATTTAGGTTTGCAAATAATTTTTTTCATGATGTAATGCATACCATGATATGGTTAGCAAGGAATGCACTCATGCTGTGCCATTACAACCTCATAATTGGATACAAATCTCCAGATTGCTATTTTTTAATTTGGATATTCATCCGTTACCGTCTCATGCTGGACTACACAAACTATGAAATCCAATCAACATGAATAATATTGGCTACCAAGTACCTTAAGGGGGAATAACCGTATGATATACCACTGAATTGTTCAAAGTTTATGTACATCATAAACTGAAGAAGTGATACAATGATGTTTATTCACTAGGTGCATAAATAAGATTGTTGTCAGCCACTTGCTGAAGGTGGTCTGTCATAAGCCATACAAGGGTTGTGAACTCACTACCACTGTTGAGCTTCTTGGCATGGGACTCCCTGCTGCATCGGTTGGCCGTGTAGATGAGAAAATCGGCCCAGACCTCATAGACCAGCTGCAGCGCGTTGTTAATGTCGATCAGTTCTTCGGCCAGCGACAGAAGAAAATTCTGAACACGAGGCCTGGTGAGCTTCCTCTGGTATAGGGCGCTAGCAAGGTTGAGGTCAGAACCAGATACGGGGTCATTATTGCTGATGATGTCCATCCACTGAGTGGCCAAGCTCCTCTTGGTCCATTGGTACAGCTTGTTCTGAGCAAGGCCCGGTAGCATGTCAGGTTGCTTGAAGAGGAGGAACATCATGTAGTTGGATAGTGCCTGCACTTCCTCCACAATACGGTGTTGTTTATCCTCGTCCTTGATCTTGGTCTGCCTTTCTGCGAGGAAAATGTCAGTGGCAAAGTGCCAGATGACGATCCCCTCGTGGAGCTCAGCACCAACAAACTTGTTATCAATAGTAATGCCACTATGCTCTTTCCAGCGCCCCAGTGCCTCCGTGCCCCATTTCTCTCTGACCATTCCCAGTGTGTTGATGTACTCACTTTTGATCATGTATTGTACGTAAGTGACCACCAAGTCTTTCAGGCCATCTGGAACACCAACAGCCGGCATGCTATAGCCCAGGATCCCAGCCAACCAGCCACGCTTTGCAGTGCACATCTGCAACATGTTATACTGCCCCATGGTGCCTGACCACCTCCTTGATGGCCTTAAGAAGCCAGCAATTCGAGTACTGTGGGCAAGCCGGCGAAGAGAAAGGACCATACGACGAAGCCGGTGCCACCTATCCAAACACAAAGCAGAATGCCAAAGACCACTCCACCGTGTTGCACAAATAAAGGAGAATGTCCAGGTAGACCAGAATGCGCTCAGCAGTGATGTCATCTCCATGAGGAAGGCACTGCCCAACAAGGCATAGGTGATAATAGCAACGTCCGCAATTCTGTTTCCCTCCCTGCCGTAGAACTGGAACAGCAGAAGGGAAGCAACCACAGCGAGCGGCGAGACGACGCGGATGCAGTAGCCAGGCAGGATGTGAAGCACGGGCGCCTTGGTGTACAGGATGTCATACATCAGCGACAGCTCCATCTCCACCAGTGTCCACATATAACCCATCTCATTCTCCTTAAGGTATCTAAGTATGCCAACTATGTAGCTCCCTGGATTCTCCGAGGAATCCACCATGGCAGACTTGCAGACACGAAACACGGCATGAGCACGGAGCATGAGCAACTCTTCTTTGTCGACTACCTTCCCTTTAAACCCTCCTCGAGGTGGTTTGCCCTCGAGGTAAAGATCACATTTTCCTAGTTGCTCCATGTCCTCCGCCTCCACAGACTCCCGGATGATGCTGAAGTTGGCACACCGGAGAGCCCATGTCTTCTCACAAAACTTGGCAACAGCGACAGTAGTCATCAAGGTTGCACCCAGCGAGAAGAGGATCCCACTGCCGGCGATATGCTTGTAGATGACATACCCTGCTCCCAGGACCTGCACCATAAGGGTCAGAAGATGGCGCTTCCACAGCTTGTTATCCTCGAGGGAGTAGGCCGTGATGTTGTTGGAGCCAGCAAGGTGAAGCAGCAAGAAGGGCGCCCAGAAGGCGACCAGCTGGTGCTGGCGCAGGGTGCTGCTGAGGGAGAGGTTGCCGAGGGCATATATCGCGGTGTTGTCCGCCAGCTGGTATGCCAGCCAGAGAAGGAGCCTTTTGGGGCTGTGGCCTTGATGCTGGCGAATCCCAGAGAAGAAGAGCAGGATGACCTGCTGCGTGAGGCTCAGGATTACAAGGATCTCAGTTGCCCATCCATTCCAAAAGTCCAGCAGCCATCCGGCAATGACTCTCGGCTCCAGCACTGATTTGATTCATCAAGTAACATCGTAGAATAGCCATGCAATAAATAAATAGAGCAGCATATTACATGGGGTTAATAAAAAACTGATAACTAAAATTATTAATGTATACATACAGCGGGTATCCCCTAGTTGATCAGCACCGAAATTAGCCATGCATGTGCCCAGCAGCGGCAGTAAGATAGAACAGAAATGAAGATGATGAAGGCTGGATTGATGCTTGGATATAGGAACTGTTACACTAACTAATCGAGCATATATACAACTAGATGGCCTGGTCTACTGGGTTTGCAAGGGTGGCCAGAACAGTCTAGCTCACCAAACCACATAATAAAGATGAAGAAATTAAGTATTAGTAGCAATTTATTATTGTTTACTAACCATTTGATATAGATAATTCTATTCATATGGCAATTCCAAGCCTTCCATCAATCAGTGCTAAGAAACATGCGATAGCGAGATATGGATGCACAAAGTACAAACACATGCTATGCTGACACGCAAACATTAACTAGAATCAATGTATACATACTGACCAAAATTAGCCATGTGCCCTGCAGAGACAGAAGACACATGAGGGCAAGACAGAATTGAAGGTGACGAGAGCTGGATTCAGGATTGATTACACAAACAATTACACCAACTAATTGAGCATCCTACTAGATGGTCTGGTGTACTGTGCTCTTAAGTGTCATCCTGATGCACCAAACCGTATCATAAACATGAAGAAATTAAGTATTAGCATTTCGTTATTGTTTGTCCATCAGTGCACATGCTCCATTCAATTTGCTAACCATATGCTATCCATCCACCAATAAGTGATCTGTACCATGTGACAGTGGGAGGTGCATGGCACAAGTAAATCTGCTGCAGGTAAAGACAAGTGGACCAAGCCTATCATCTTCGATAGTATGTAACTAAGAGCCAAAATTGCCTATATGGCACTATAGGAGACGATTAGCTAATGTACCACTCCGCTGTCCCCACTAGCTATTTTAGCATTCGCTACATACCTTTGCACCATCAAGCATTGCACCATCTATGTACATCGATGGTCCAGACTCCAGATCACTTGAGGATCATCACCACTGTTAACTTTTTTTTTCTCTCTTCCTTGCCTGCTGTAGAGGAGAATCCTGTACTGATCTGGTCAAACTTGTGGCTTGGGAGAAAGAGGAAAGCATGGAACACGGTCTGGTTTCAGCTCTGGGATACCACAGTGGAATTCACGGAGGTGTGCTAGAGGCGGTCAGCACACTGGTACCAAATATGGGCTGAGGTGGTGTACCTGGTTGAGCTGCTCCTCTGTCCTAGATCTAGTAACATGACATTTTTCTAAATTATTTCTTTTGCAGGTTGCATGGCATTTTTATGTTAATAAGTAATAATATATCTCAAATTAGACATGGTGTCAGTGTATCTATATACTATAGGCTTCTATTCTTAGATTTTTGCAAAATAGATACTTGTTTCACAATTTTCAATTATTCTTTTTAAAGGACCCAAGATATGTGCAATGTGTGGCTGCCCCGTCCCGAGTGCAGTTTCATCCTCGAGCAAATTTGGGCCATGGGGTATTACCTTGATAATTCTGCCAAATTTCAAATTCAAAATCTCGTCATTTTCAAGATCAGTGGGCCTGGTAAATGATTTTGGTACAAACATGCCTGACTCTGCTTGTTGCATACAAAATGTACCTAATCCTTAGGGGTCCATTCCAAGACTAATGCGGCCTGTTGAGCCCCAAAGCAAACCATGGAAAGGTTGGAAAAGAACGACAACAGAATATGAGTTGGATAAAAATACCTTCTAGGTTGGTTGAAAATCCAATATCACTATAGCAGGGGATCCAGTATTTACATATGGTTGTCAGGAAGTAGCCTGGTGGCATATGTGCTGATGAAGTAATGATCAGCCTATTCTTTGATCTCCTGACATAAAAATAAAGGTAAAATGACAGCATTTGTCTTCAAGTATTGTGTTGGGTACTGGAGTTGAATTATTTGCACCTACACAAAAAGGAACCGAAATGCTAAGCCAGTACCAGAAATGCCAAGAAGCAAGTCAGTGTCAACTAAAGCATTGTGTTCCTTGAAATTTGCTATGCTGATAACTGTAAAATAAACCTAGAAACATACTTCAGGCTAAGAAAGACCACTAAAAATCTCTCTGTTAACAAGAAAGCAATGCCACATCAGAAAATAAGAAATATAATGTTCTGCAGATTAGCAAAAATCAGGCAGAGGACTTTGATATTTCAATAAGGATGCAATTGACAGTAAGGGGTGTTGTGGAAATCTCAAGTGCTGACAATAAATTTGTCGCTCTAGTCAGTCCTGGAACAAATGTTGTTAGAAAATTACATGTCAACTAAAGTATTTACGCTACCAGTTTCCAAACTTCAGCAGCAGCATTATTCCATTTGCCAACAACATTTGATAGAAATGGAAAATAAAGATTTATGTTTCAGAGGAGTGCTCAATGTTGAGGACACGGCTTCAGAAACATGAATAACAAAAGGCTGCTTCTGTTATACTTGCAATAAGGCAACCAATTTCATTGAAGTTTTAGATGATAATTACTTCACTATTATCATGAGTAATATAATATAAAAGTTTATTTAGGAATAGGCATGATTCTAAAAAGAATAAAGCAACCCAAATATCTTCATTTGACACTGTCCTTGCTCATGCTTCACATCATCTTGCTCAGATCCCATCTCTTCTATGGATAACATATGTTGACTAAATTAGATTGTCTATATGGTAAGATGTTGCTCTTTTCTGAAAGAAAAACTCACATGTTCTGATATTTGGTGAAATGCAAATGATTCATACAGGGAGTTTCTGAAATCCCCTCATTATATGGCAGTAGCCAGAAGTTAAGAGGCATGATAGTACAGGATCAACGGCCAGGCACTGTCCATGGATGAGTGATTGGCACACTTAACATAATCACAGAGATTCATAGGGATAAATAACAGGTTTACTTCACTCCTCCCTTACAATGTGAACGCTACAATAAGTTTTGTTCAAACGCATCCTACAGTGTTAGTGAGGAGAGGGATTACCAGGTTGGGATATGATAAGTTCCTGACAGACAGCAGAAGATTTTCTGACTAGCTTAAGCATTGTGCTACTCCAACTACTATTAAGTAACAGCAACATTTGACTAGTCACCTGGTTTCAGGTCACCTTTTCACTACTGCTTGCTAGTCGACTGAGAGCTGAGCTCCAGTGTAGGCAGGACAGCCATTGCTTCCCCTTCAATTGCAACAGAGCCCTCCTCTTCGTCCATGAAGCATTTGGTTGCAAACTTGACGCTGCACAGCACAATCGATAATTAAGTTAGCTTGAGGTCTCAATAAGGCAAAGATGGGAGCAAGGCTTGCTGCAGGTGCGTACATGTATCGGCTTGCCGTGCTGCTGTTCGCGGCCCCTGTCGTCCTGATGTTGAGCGCCTGGACTCGAGCAAACACCTCATCTCCGACGTACACCGGCGCCGCAAACTTGAGCGTCTGACTCGCGTACACCGCGCCAGGCTGAACCAACCAAACCATCAAGCGAAGCCACACTGTGAGACTCCATGCTGACGCGCTGTTCGACGGAATGCCGGAGAGGAAAGAGGGAAGGAGCGTACGTACGAAGCTGGCGGCGATGAGGGAAGGGAAGAGGGACGCCACGAGCATGCCGTGCACGACGCGGCCTCGCTGGAACCCGCCCAGCTCACGGGCGACGGCGTCGTCGAGGTGCACCGGGTTGCGGTCCCCGCTGACCGCCGCGTACGCCGCCATGTCGTCCTCCGTGAAGCGCCGGCGCTCGCGCAGCGCGTGGCCGACGCTCAGCACCGCCGGCGGCGAAGACGCGGCCGACGTGGTGGTGGTGGCGGTGGTGCGGACGAGGGGGAAGATTGCCCGGCCGCGGAGGCGCATCGTGGCGGCGCCGATGGGGAATTCGGTGTAATCGGAGATGAACGAACCAGGAAGCTGGCAGCTGGGGTCCAGTTATCTATCAACGATTCGGGCTACAATTTGGTTCCTATTTTCACATCCCCGTGAGACGGTAATAAGCCTTTTACATGTACCATTATAAAAGATAGTTCAACCCTATATACCACTAAAAAATTCGAAATCATCTTAATGCCACTGGCATTAACTCTTTTGTCCCACGTACCATTCGGTCGACATCTATTATGAATGGTGTCAAATAGAGCTGCAAAAAGTTAGAATTGCCCTATGGGTAGAGTACCTTGCTGAAAGTTGTGTTTTCCTCCCGTACCGCTCTCCCTGATCTCATAGCTTTGGCATTCGTCTGACAGTATTAACTTTGGGGCTTAATTATCTGCTAATCTGAAGCGCAAATGACCTTGACCCCTTAATAAAAGTTGTAGAGCTTGACAACTTTGTTGCAGGCGGCCCAGATTGAATCAAAGTGAAATGTGTCGCAATTGAGATTCCAAGATGCCTACTCAGGCGCCTACCAGGTGTTCAGCAGAATGCCGCGTGGCTGCATGCACTCCTGAGGAAAAGGTTGTGCCATGTGAACTATGAAAGGTTGATGTATCCACTTCTATTTTTTCCCTGTATATATCTATCTATCTGTTTCTTGTAGTAAAAGGTTTACTGTTATCGATTATCATTGTAAATATTTCACCATTGCCTATTCTGCCATCCTCATCTTCCGAACAAAATTAGCCTTGATTCTTGTGGCAAATCCCATTCCATTAAATTAAAAAAAAGTCTAAGTACCTGTAGGGGCACGGAAAGGTATGAACAACTCATGCCTTGTTGACAGTTTCTTCCTCTGCTTCCATTCTGATACACACGTTTGTATTTTGTGTTCATCACGGATGCAGTTACTCGGATTCGGATCAATTTTAGTTTAAATGGATTGGATTGGATTGGATTGGTTTGGTTTGGGTGGGTTACTCGGTTCTATGGGTACTGCAACCTCCACTGGCTTCGTGCAGACCGGCCGGCCGGCAACTTGGCTGGACGTCGATCCGATCGAGCACACGTATACGCATGGGAGGCACGCACCAGATCATCTAAACGTACGACGACGAGTCCCGGCCCGGCCCTCACGACCACGGCCGGTACATGCCGCCGTCCGCCATGAACGGCGGCGGCCTGTCCATGTACAGCGTCGGCCGTCGGGTGCCCTGCGGGACGTGGAACCCGCCCTCCATCATCGCGAGCGGCATGTCCTCCGACGCCGGCTTCCATCAGGAGAGCAGCATCTCGCGTACTGCATCTGCGCCAGTACGTACCCACCTCCTCGACGACGGAGACGTGTGCAGGCGCTCCCAGACGCGGCCGCCGAACGCGCCGGCGCTCGCCATCGACGCTGGCGCCGATCGCTCGTCGGACACCTCCGACGGCCATCGCTCGTCGAACGCCTCGACCTTCGACGCTATTACCTTTTGCACGGATTGGATCGGATTAGGACAGATAGATTGGGTGGTTTTCTCAACACATGCACAGGCCTAGCACCAGCTAGATGCTGCAAGCCTGCAAATTTTGTTTTGCTCATCTGCGCACGCCGCCGCCCCGGCGAAGCCGCACATCTGGGTACGACGCCTGCAGGTCGATGACGGCGCGCCGGAGCCGCGAGTTGTGCTTGGCGGCGAAGTCATTCAGCTCCCGGAGGCACCCCGCCGAGTCGTAGTCCGCGGGCTCCGATGAGGCGGCGTCCATGCCAGGTACACGGTGTTAGGATCAATGGATGTGTACCTCTGTGTAACCCGTAGATCCGGTGTGAGCCTTCTCACCCTTTGCGCGTTATTCACCGCTCTGTCCATGACGCCGCAGCAGCTTGGACGCCGGTGTAGGGGCAGCTTTGGGTCGGTGGCGAGGCGGCGAGGTAGCGATGCCGTGGAGAAGAGGGGACGGTGGTGACCTGCGGTGAATCGACGGCGGTGGTGGCGGGCTCATCCCGTCATGGGGCAAAGACATCTTTAGATCGGTATTAGGGTTTCAAGGTGGGTGTGGCGGCTCCGGTGAACCTCTCTTGAGCTCGATCCCCACCTTCTCTATTTGTATTTAGTGAGGGCCCACCAACCGGATTAGGGTTGGGCTATAAAGCGAGACAAAGGGCCCAATAGGCCGTTGGGCCTATTGGTGGAGATCAACTAACATTCTCCCCTTGATCTCATTCCGTCTTTCACTTTCATATCATTTACTTTTGTTCATTCCATTACTGATTAGCTCATAGAGCATGTCTCATAAATCACGGTCCATTGCCGATAGACTTAATGACTACAACTCACTACTTTGTTCGAAATAGATACTTATCTTTGGGTCTTCTTTTGTCCAGAATATTTTAGGCTTTCCCTTAAACCCAAGCTAGCTACATGTTCTCACGAACACCATGTCCTCTGAACATGTTGGGTGGTAAGCCTTTTGTAAGCGGATCCATGAGCATCCTTTCTTTACTTATATGCTCAAGATTTATGACTTGATCCGGACTTTATCTTTCACAACATAATACTCTATGTCAATGTGTTTGGCGTGAAGACTTGACTTATGTTGTGAGTATACTGTACTGCTTGATTATTATCGCAGTATCTCTTAAGTGGTCTATAGATGTCGTCAACCACCTTCAAACCGGGTATGAACTTCGTTAGTTAGTTCACCTGCCCGTTGCCTCATATCACGCTACAAACTGTCATACATTGTGGACGATGTAGTGACGGTTTGCTTTGAGCTTTTCCATGAAATAGCTCCCTTTTGCGAGATGATAGAAAATCCACGTCTGGATATGCATTCACTCTCGCATAATCAGAATCTGAATATCCCACCATGTGGAGTGAATCAGATCTTCTATATGTCATCATGAGGCCTTTCGTTCGTTGCAAATAATGCAAGACTTTCTTTACTAATTTCAGTGTTCTATTCCAGAATTGCTCTGAAATCTGCCAAGTAAAACCCGGTAACAAATGCCAAGTCAGGGCGCATAAATACTTGAGCATGTTGCAAGCTTCCGACAGCTGAAGCATATGGAACCACTTTCTCTTTATCGATTGAGCTCAAATTGGTTCCTAGGGCATTGAAAATCCCCATATCCGTCGCCCTTGACTACAGGAGCAGGTGAGGGACTATATTTGTGCATACTGAATTTCTTTAAGATCTTTTCCATGTATGCCTTTTGTGACAGTCATTATATCCTTTTCTTCTATCTCGGTGAATCTCGATCCCTAGAACGAACGAGGCTTCCTCAAGATCTTTCATATCAAGTTTTGAGAACAAAACTTCTTTGTCTCCTGTAGTAGACTGACATCACTACTAGCAAGTAAGATATCATTTACATACAGGATAAGGAAGATAAACTTCCCAATCTTAAACTTTGCATAGACACAATTGTCCTCTACATTCTCTTTAAAACCCAAAATTCTTTATTGTCTGATCAAACTTCAAGTACCACTGTCTTGAAGCTTGTTCTAATCCATAAATGGATTTCTTTAGGCGGCATCCCATTCGTTCTTTTCTTTCCATGACAAAACCTTCCGGTTGTGCCATGTAAACATTTTCCTCCAAGTCTCCGTTGAGGAATGCCGTGTTTACATCCATCTGATGTAATTCTCAATCGTAATGTGCCACTAATTCTATTATTATTCTGAAAGAATCCTTACATGAGACTGGAGAAAAGGTCTCATTGTAATCAATCCCTTCTCTTTGCACAAAGCCTTTTGCCACAAGTCGGGCTTTATATCTCTCTATATTCTCTTGAGAGTCAAGTTTTGTCTTGTAGACCCATTTACAGCCTACTGTTTTGGCTCCTTTAGGAATTATTTTCAAGTCCCAAACTTTATTGGCATTCAATGATTTCATTTCATCTTCCATGGCCTCAAGCCACTTTAATGATTGATCACTACTCATGGCTTCTTCAAATGAGGCGGGATCATCCTCCATTTAAAATTCTTTAGTGTTGTACACTTCATGATCAGCAGGAATAGCTGATTTTCTAACTCTTTGAGACCTTTTAGGGGCCTCCATATTTGGCACATCTTCTGTTTGAGGCTGTTGTTGCTCCCCCTCATGTGTGGCAATCGGTTCTATTGGATCCTGAAGAACAGGTTCCTCATTTTCACTCATTTTTGCCATTGGGTGGGATAACAACAGTCTTTGGCACCACAGATCAAGACTGCTTGTCGGTGCTGACTCTGAGAAAGTAGTAAGAAAATTGGCTCATAAATCATTGGAGTGGGCGCTTACACCCGCTTCACTTCAAGGTCAATTTCTCGAGCTACCATGCTCCCCCTCATCAATTTGTCCTCTAGGAAGACAGCGTGTCTCGTTTTCCACAAACTTTGTATGTCTCTCTAAACAGTGGAAAACGAAAACCTTTTGATTTTTTTACGTGTTGCCAATGAAATGGCACCTTACTATTTTGGGATCTAACTTCTCAATGTTTGGGTTAAATACTTTAGCCTCGTGAGGCTCCCACACATGCAAGTGGTTTAGTGAGGGTACATTTTTCATCCACAACTCATACGGTGTTTTGGGCACCGATTTACTTGATACTCTTTCGAGAATATGAATGAGGTTTTTAATGCCTCCATTGAGCTCAAGCTGTAAGGTGGAGTAACTTATCATACGCCCACCATATCCATCAGTACGATTGATTCTTTTAGCTACTCTATTCTCATTGAGGTTCACCGGTATAGAATCTTGGGCTACTATGCTATTCTTTTAGGGTATGCCGACCGTAGTACTCCTCCACGGTCAGACCTGACTATCTTAATCTTTAATATCTTAAATTTATCCAATATATCTTTTCTTTCTTTGATTGGATAAATATAGTCATAATGGGAGTAATCATCTGTGAATGTTATGAACGAATCATAACCATCCACACTCTTTACAGGAAAGCTGATCACAGATGTCTATGTGAATAATCTATAAAATTCCTGCGCTTCTTTTGTCATCTCTCT